AATAACTGCTTTCTGGTTCTCATGCCTTCACTCGCCATGAAATACATTTTTTGAAAATTGTGCCCGACTGACAACCAGCAGTGACACGGAGAGACAACAGGAGACCAGTTTCGGTTGGTGACATTTTGATCGCCCCCACTGATGTCCTTCCACCGCCACAATGTGTGCAGATGCTACTGACTATTTTAAGTAGGGTGTGTAGCCATATGTCTACAAAAACATTTTTTTAGGTGGGGGGGGAGTCGACAATGTTTGTAAACCTCTTGGATAAACTTTTTACCCCCACATCTGGGGGGGGGGGGCACTTTCTATAACTTTTTGATTCAGGCCTTTATTTAGTTGATGGACAAACGGTAACAGGGCTTTTATATTTTGATTTAAAGCTTTCGTGACTGCAGGGATTCATATTCTTCTTGGTTCTTTCGGTAAAGTCACGTAGAAGGGAAACAATAAAATAATAATATATATATAAAACAATTAAATTTTCACGCAAGAACCAAGAATAAGGCTTTTATAATGTGATGGTGACCTAAGAGCAGTGGACTACAATGCAGTTGTTCACTAGCTATTGTTGGTTTCTGCAAAATCCACAGAGGCTGGGCGCTTTTTGCGTGCAGTATGAATAGATGACGATAACAAGGTGAATGCACTTTTTGACAAGTCACTGCTGTATAGTTTGCTCGCACTACGTTACAGTATTGGACATACATTACTTGAATAAATCAATAAAAAAATGTTTTTTTTACAATACGTGTCAAAATTAAAATACTAAACAAATCGACCATTTGCGTAATTATTAATCGCCACGATGTATCCACTGCTGGATGATTTCTGTCCCCAGGCAATCGGGGGCACTCCCTTGCGGTTTTGTGATGCGACCACCCAAACGTATCTCGCCGCTGCACACCCTCCCCGCTGATTCGCATTGCTCCATCTCCGCGGTTGGATATCGTTGGGCGCGCTTCCTGCGGCTAAAACGAACGTTCAAATGCGTAAAAGGAACAATGTGAGCCCGTGCAATATTAGAGCCAGAATTGTAACACGGTCAGGATATATAGTCCGTTTAACACGTAGGCTTTCGCGAACACTCTGGCGAATTGCCCGATGATGCTGGATGTTATTGCCAGCGAAACGTCGTACTCAAAGATTGTAAATGCTGTGGATTCGCTCTTCAACACACCGGTGGGCTAAAGTAGTGAACTATTTGTCTTTTGTCAACGCGACACATTTTTTTTTACTGTTTGGCCGTGTCGGGTGGTGGAGGGTTACGACACATTTATAAATAACGCGATCTAACCCAAAAACTTTTTATTATGAAGGATATAGTCCACTCAAATAAATCGAACCAATGCGGGATGACGTCTGTCGTTGAACTTTCGAGGCTGGTAACTGTAACGTTGGGCGTTCCCTGTGTCGGCAGTATCACGTTGTTGTCGCCTTTTTTAATTATTGAAAACGGGAAGCTTGTCATAAATCTCGAGTGCCCCTACAGTACACCAAATCGACATTCGCATCACATTAAAACATTCCAAGTTATCCGTAAGATTATCTCGTTCATGAGCTTGCATTTTAAAGAGCGTGTTCAATCAAACCAGTTCCACGGCTTTTCCCCGCATTCGCGAATTCACCACCGTCGATGATGATCCGTCCGCTTTTCACTTATAGCTGTGAGAAGGATGGGGGTTAACAAATTAATTCGCAACTACAGTGGCAGGCTTTGTAGTACCAGCTCCAACCAAATTAATCTTTTGACCCTGCACTGTTGGAACACCTGTTAAATAAGAAAACTGATTATTACTTGGGAATTTCAATAGTCTTGTGAGATATATATACTGTATTCATTATAGTAGCTGCCACAGATTGGCCTGCTTAGCATTCGGGTTATTGTGTGCGATATCACACAACAAAATGAAGCACTTTTAGCTTCAATGGAACATGCGTTTCAAAACTGCTCATTAAATGTTATTTGGCTTGAGCACAAGTCTCAGTGCTTTGTTTTAGTGCAGTGTTATTGCGGTGCCAGTTTTAAGTGGGAGTAGTTGTAATTGTTTTGAGTAACTCCCCTGGCAGCTTGACCGGTTTTATGTTATGAAAAAATAAGAATAGGGCTTACCCTTTCTGGCAATAAAACAGTTGTGTTAAGATGTTCAAACATCAAATAGAAACCTTTTGCAAGGAATTATGTCTGCGTTCACCACACGTATTTGTGATGAACATGCGAATAAAACAACATGCTCTGATAATTATATGTAATTTTATTTCATTTTTATTTTCTATCTCCGTGACTTTACCGAATGAACCAAGAATATTAATTCCTGCAGGCACGACATTTTTAAGTCAAAATATTTGGGCATTGTCTTTGAAACTGATAGGTCTACACTAGGGGACACCCTTCTTAAGTGCCTAGTCTCGCCAGTGTCAGACCAGAGAACACCAAAAGGCGAACCGGTTTTATGTTGTTTCAAGATGTTTGAAAACCCACCTTGGTCACAAAGCTGCACCTGAACAGGGCACTGTGGCGCTGATGTGGTTTCTCAAATATCTGGTGTAATGTTCGCATTTGAGAATGCCACGTTGTTTTACACGACGGTACTGTCTCATCCATTTGGTGTTTACGACATTTCATTTGCCGAGAGGATTGTTATCTTTTATGTGTGTGTGTGTTCAAAAGTCTGGCTGGAGAGTGGGCATGTGCACTGGTATGCTGCCACACTCCAGTTAGGTTGTCGACTGCATGTGAGAATTGTCTCGAGACTCCTCCACCCACTTTTCTTTTTTCTTCTTTGCTTCTTTCGGTGAAGTCACGTAGAATGAGACTAAAATAATAAGTTGATAAAATAAAATAACACAATAAAATTCTCATTGCCATTTCTCACCAGCATTCTTGTTTAAGCCGAAGTGTGATCCACATTGTAGTCTGTAAAAAAATACCCTGTTTATTCAAAATACAGGTTTTTTGGGGGGTTAGATCCCATAAATATTGATGTGTCATATAAATGTGTTGTTAGCTTGTCCTGTTTATGTAAAAACACGTTTTACCACACCCCGAGTGTGACGCTTTAAAGTGTCTGCTTATGTGGGCAGGGCTTGGTAATTCTGCTGGCAGGTATAAGTGAAGTGCATATATATGCCCGCCTTTCCAAGCCGCAGATGGCAAGGCCACAATGGCAGATGCTTTGCTGTACTACAGCGAGCTATCTCAAAACGCCGTGCCAGACTCTGCCAATTTTGTCCGTGTGATACCATATGCCGCACACATTAGTTTGTGATGCTCGCATTGGCAGCGGCGCACAATCACAGCGAACACACACGCAAAAAAAAAAACGCATAGGTTAAATAACATGTAAATAAAGTGCTGTCAAGAAGGGCCATTGCTTAAAACGTCGGCTATTATATGTGTTTCTTTTAAGGAAATAATATTCCACACGGAATTTTTGCGTCGCTGATTAAATAGATACAGAGCACATTTATAATGATGGTATGACATTAGTGTAGTAGCTACAGTTTATGACTTGTAATGCGCCATATGCTAATGAGCTGTACAGCTTTTAAGCATTTGAAAAGGTTCACAAAAATGTCAACTTATTTGGAAGCTTTAATTTTTTTATGGTCACTGTATACTGTCTACCATTCTCTTGGAAAGTCAGTGTGCCCTTGCCAATATATGAGGATGTTGGAATTTGTGTAAGACAACATGTTATGTTGCTGATAATAAACAACCTCATGCCAGCAGCTTATAAAATATACGAAGTATTTTTTCACAAAAACAACAATAATGAAAAACTTTGCATACTTTGTTTTTGAGAAAACATCAAAGGGTAACAATGTATCCCCGATTGGCTTCAAAAACTTGTAAAATATTTATTTAATGCATGCACGTGACTCATTTGTGCATGCAGATTAATTGGTTATTTCATGAATGGAGAGTTAAGGATGATGACAGTAATGACGGAGCGTATTTAGATATGTATTTTAAATGGTGTGTTGCTCCTACACTCTGTTATTACCATCATCTGTACTATCTAAAAAATGGACCCTCTTGGCTTGCGTGGAAAGATTTATTGAAACATGAGTTCACGACATACTGTGTTAAAGAGCACAAGATAAAGCAATAAACTTATTTCGATAGAAATGGAATCACAAATTCCTTGGACACTGGCACTGTATTACTGTTGGAGCATAACCAAGCTGACGAGTGCCACTGTGAGCCGCATTACGTGGGAAACGTACCATGAAAAAAAATGGTTGGATGTGGCGAGCTGTATATGGCTATAGGAATAGAGATTGCTTTCCTAAAGGGCAAGTCAAACTTTAAACAGCGGCGACATGAGGTTTGCGAGATTAAAGAAGAGCGTGACAATACTGCGCTATCGAACCAGGTGGCTGCATTACTCTTGCTGCCAGAACGAGGGTCATGCAGTGCAACATCTACGGCAGATAGCATGCCGATTCGTTCACGTTCTGGGGATAACTGCTTATTGGAATAAGCAGGAATAAGCAGTTAACTCCTCAGTGAGAGCATAATATTGCAACTACAGTAGTTGTGAGCGTGTGTAGCACATCTAAGTACCGATGCTACCGCTTGGTTATTTTTCACCACGGTGCAGAATTTATTGATGGGTCTAGAAGCGACCAACATCTGTTTTTTTTTTGCCAAGAGGAAAACTAAAGGAAATTACTAGAATAAAAATGACTAGTGACAATTTGAATTGAAAATGATGGACTGGCATTGATTTGGCGCATATACTTAAAGTGTGCCTTTGTGTGGCTTCTGTGAGCAAGCACTCTGTCTTCTTTGTTTCAATCGCCTGTACAAAAGTTAAATAAGCACATGCGGCAATTTCAGGCATGGGAAAACTCTTACCCTTCTCCAAGGACATCACTGACTGTTGTTTTATCCTTCTGATTGTATTTGGTGATGGGATTTAACAAGCAATCAATGTTCTTTTTTCTACTCTGTCTTTTTTTTTACTTTTTAATTCCTCGTTCCTGGAGAACAGAAACTGAAAAAATCTACGGATCATGAGCAGGTGTCTCTGGTAAGGTCGTGTGTGCTGCTTGCTTACATGGGCTATCTGCACACAATTTCTGTTTGCATAACTCTTGCAAATTCACGAGTGCCATGCATGTGACCAAAGGTGCGCATGGATGGAATGTCATCGTGAATGCTCTTGCTTTCCTCCAAAAGAAAACGCTTTGCTGACTAATGGGAATTGCACGAGTAAACATTTACTGCACATTTCGGAGTGTGCCTTGGCTCCGTGGTATTCCACTTAGTGTACGTGTTTCATTATTGCAGTGTGAGATTTAGCACGCTTGAACAAGCTATCCCAAATAACGTGATTGCCAAGACATTTCTATTTGTAATGTACGTTTGCCCTTGGTCGTGGCTTTCGCCAAATTTACATCATTTCAACCGTGCATTTCCATGAGCCAACTGCAGCTTTCATTACCTTCATTGTTTACCCATAATTGTTATCGCTGTTGTGTTGTCACGTCTAAAATGTGCAACTGGATTTGATAATTTTCTCGTGAAGAATGAGATTAACTTGAAGGAAACTAGAGATTTTCAGGAGTATTTCTGCAACAGCTCATCATCGTTGGGCAATTTGTCTGCTTTTGAGCTTTGATTATTCCTTCCTGTGGTTTCAGCAACACCTTTTTATTTGCCATCATTTTTACATTTGTATTCTTGGTATATGGAAATAAAGAAGTGATGTGAACATAGCCATCACATACACTCCTAACCCATGAGTGTGAGAAGATGAGGCCATTTCAGATGACCGCAGTTTTCTGTTCCGTTAAATGCACTATATTGTAATTGAATAGGACACTTGTAAATTGTACTTGAATGCGGTTTGTAGGAATAAAGTGTTTTACTGCCATAGCTCTACATTTCGAAATATTTACAGATTAATATATACTGCATTTTTTAGTTTACATTATTATGTCATTATATAAAAAATGTTATGCTCATTTGCCCTTCACATGGCATTTGTAAAAAAAAAGTATAAATAAAATCGTACATTGAAAAGGGCATCCAAGCGAGCAAGATGTGCGCATTGTGCTCGCAATTACGCTTTATTAGAAGTTGGTTTACAATTTCTGACAGTTACCGTTGCACTTCCCTTCGAAAGAACTACTCTGCATTTGTTGGAAGAAATTCTCCTTGCGCTAATTTCCCCCCATGTGTTGTGATAATGCAGCTGGACCGCTTTGCAAGCATCCGCGTTGCCGCTAAGAAGGACAAGGAGAAAGGGGACCGGCCCGTCGTTGTGCAACGTGGAGGAGGGCCGAGCAGCCTACCTTTCGGTGGAGATGACCTCACCGAGGACCAGATCCACACGTTTTTTGAGAAGATGCTGGTAAAACACCATACATACGTTTCCTTTCTTATTTTTTTGCGGGATAATTCCTTTTTTTCGTGGTGATGTGGAGGTGCAGTACCGCGGATTCAATTATCCATGATTATATCCCACCCCCACGCCCCCCTTTGTCTGTAGGAAACAATTACGGATAAGAAGGTGCATTTTCTGCTCAACTCCTCTTAACCATGGCGATTAAAAGAAAGCTATTCTGCAAATCATAATAGGAAAATCCTGGGATAATCGTGAATAATAATAATAGGAACACAGCTAATAGGAATATTTGCAGGACCATACAGCTCCTGTAGATAATTGGAGTAAGAGTGGTTTTATTCCTCCAAGCTTGATCTTTTTAATAATTTAGAGATATTCTGAGAAGTTGTACTATTGTGCTGCTATTTTCTTTTTTACACAACAGGAGGACATGAACCTCAGTGAGGCCCACAAGGCTCCTTTGCGCCACAAAGATGAAAAAACGAAGCGTGACATGGTTTTACAATACATGGCTTCCTCTTCCAAGACGGTGAGTTTGCCATCACCTCCACTCCCACTCTTGTCGCCAACTGAATGCTGAACTTTGATTCCTGTCCCTAACCCTTGGATTCTGAGATGTTACAGAGTTCAAGTGGTGTGCTGATTGAAACATTTTCCATCTCCACTGCAGTGGAATTGCCTGTCATTGAAATACATTATTTGTCCATGGGAGGGCACTATTTCACCGCTACAGCCCTAAAGTTTGGCACGCGAGAAACATTTTAGTTCTTTGAATAATTTATATTTTGTCCAGCAGAGGTCATCATTTACCATGGAAATGGATGACTTGTGCTCGGCTACCTGACGTTAACAGAAATGACCTAACGATATGCACTGCTGTATTCTTTTTTATTGAACGGGTTATTGTCAGATTGATTATTACGTAATTTAATGTGACGTTAGTTTTATTCTCAGTATTCATGAATAAGAAAACTGTGAAGTGTATCTTTTTCTTGATGCCTATATCTGATAAAAAAAAAACTAATTTCACTATTTAAAGGCATTTCATTGCTTAATAATTGAAGTTTTAAATTTATACTGCAGCAATTTTTTTATTATAAAAAAAATCTAGATTTGACGCCCACTGAAAGGCATTTTTTTGTAAAGTACTCGTACAACATATTAGATGGTGAGACATAATCAGCAAGCCATGCCCATTATCGTTAAACAGGTTGCAGATGTTGTGAAGAATTAAAAAGAACCAATGGCATTTGCCTTGTTTATATTCTGAATCAACAGCATCAATGAACAGAATACAAATAAGCTCCAGTTCAGACTGTTTTGGCATTTTAAGTACATTAAATTACATTTTGGAATACCTGATGCCTTTTGTGACATGCATTTTAAAACTGTATCTTGTCATTCATAGCCACGTTCTGGATATATACACCATAAAATGCAGTTAGAATGCGTTCATAACGGCAGACCATCTTTGTACTACGTGTTTAGTCGCATTGCCAAAGGGAAGGTTCATGGCCTGTATGCGTAAATTATTACAGGTGACATTTACCTCCGAGTCATGAGTTGTGGTGCCACCGAAGATCTCAATCCTATCTGATGGGCAGCCCAAACACACCGAAATAAGTGGGTGTTTGAGAAAGGGTAGCAGGAGAAAAGACATAGAGAGCAAGGGATCCTGATTACCCTAGAATGACTTCTTATCAGTGAGTGTTGGAGGTGTGCACTCGTGACGGGTGTCCGCTTGTGGCTATGGAGAACAAAAATGGGACTGACAGGTGGTATGGCAATAGTCCCTTGGCCATGCACATTATTCAAGGAATTTCAAATGGCATGGCCTGTCTGTAAGGGGCTGCACAAATTTGTGATTTACTTGAGAAAATGACAGAAGGGAGATTGGGGGAAAAATGGTTTTGTGGCACTAATCAAGCAGGCTTATTTGCTTTTGTATAGTGGTGACATGTGTGCAGTGAGGCTCCACTCTTTTGCTTTTTTGTATAAATAATTTGTTACAAATTTCTGCATGTTTTACTCCTTGTAATTATTTGTTGATGCGACCTATTTACTTTTTGACTTGTTTTTTGTCTCCTTAAAATAATTTTCACTGCACGTTGTAAGATAATTTAAAATGCTACCATCCCAGAGTTGAACAAATTTTAACTAAACTCTACACAGAATATTATTCTTCATTATGTTTTCAATGAGCAAAGCAATGAGCCGCAGTAGGTGGCTAGTTCATTTTTTAATGAAGATGAGCATGTGGCATATGTTTCGATTTGAAAAGATTACCTTGGTATTGGGCAATTTTTTTTTATTTCATTGCAACATTTTACGTGGGAAACGTACATTTTCATGAACATTTTTTTAATTGCAAAAATTAACTACCCTATTACTAATTAAACTGATTTTGGAAAGACCATGTTAAACAGATAATTGAAAGCACAGCAATGTTCTCCGATCATTTGATCTTTGTCAAGCCGATTTGACCAACCACAAAACTAAAGTCTAAATGACGAAGTAGAAAAGGGAGCACACAGTGGATGCGGGGAGGAATTCGCTTTAGTTTTGTTTCTCTATCAAGGTTAAAGCCTTTGAGATAAAGGTATCCCACAGGCCTGCTATTTAATGGAATGTATGACATGCTTTACCGACTGGGAGATTATACTATGAGGCCATGCCGTGTCACCCACAGAGGACCCTTGCATGTGAATAACAACCAAGCTGAAACCCACATTGGCCAGACCTCTGTTAGACCTGGCAATCTATTGCTTAAATACATTTTACTCTGCCTGCTTTACATTTCATTACAGCTATAATTTTAGTATTGAAAAAGTATTTTTTTTATATTTTCGTGTTCATGGCAGATGAAAGAGTAAGTAAAAACAAATCTACTTTCTCAAGCTTTTTAAGTGAAGTATTGGATTTCAAATAATTGTATTTATTTTCCAGCACGTAATTAAATCAACAATACTGGAATATGAATCAGGTATAGTCTATCCTGTGTTATCGGGACTGTTTTCGTTACAATAGGGTAGCAGACTGAATGCATTAAAAGTGACATTAAGAAGCCACAGTTGGCCAAACATATTCTTCTGGGAAGACATACCACCAGCTATTGTTTAACACCTGTAATTTTTGAGAAATTATATCTTGTTCATATATTTATTATATTGTATATATATTGGTTATAATATTTTCATTTGTACTCATATTTTCCAGCCATTGACCTGCTTACAGTGAGGGAAAAAAGTATTTGATCCCCTGCTGATTTTGTACGTTTGCCCACTGACAAAGAAATGATCAGTCTATAATTTTAATGGTAGGTTTATTTGAACAGTGAGAGACAGAATAACAACAAAAAAATCCAGAAAAACGCATGTCAAAAATGTTATAAATTGATTGCATTTTAATGAGGGAAATAAGTATTTGACCCCTCTGCAAAACATGACTTAATACTTGGTGGCAAAACCCTTGTTGGCAATCACAGAGGTCAGACGTTTCTTGTAGTTGGCCACCAGGTTTGCACACATCTCAGGAGGGATTTTGTTCCACTCCTCTTTGCAGATTTTCTCCAAGTCATTAAGGTTTCAAGGCTGACGTTTGGCAACTCGAACCTTCAGCTCCCTCCACAGATTTTCTATGGGATTAAGGTCTGGAGACTGGCTAGGCCACTCCAATGCCTTAATGTGCTTCTTCTTGAGCCACTCCTTTGTTGCCTTGGCTGTGTGTTTTGGGTCATTGTCATGCTAGAATACCCATCCACGACCCATTTTCAATGCCCTGGCTGAGGGAAGGAGGTTCTCGCCCAAGATTTGACGGTACATGGCCCCGTCCATCGTTCCTTTGATGCGGTGAAGTTGTCCTGTCCCCTTAGCAGAAAAACACCCCCAAAGCATAATGTTTCCACCTCCATGTTTGCCGATGGGGATGGTGTTCTTGGGGTCATAGGCAGCATTCCTCCTCCTCCAAACACGGCGAGTTGAGTTGATGCCAAAAAGCTCCATTTTGGTCTCATCTGACCACAACACTTTCACCCAGTTGTCCTCTGAATCATTCAGATGTTCATTGGCAAACTTCAGACGGGCATGTATATGTGCTTTCTTGAGCAGGGGGACCTTGCGGGCGCTGCAGGATTTCAGTCCTTCACGGCGTAGTGTGTTACCAATTGTTTTCTTGGTGACTATGATCCCAGCTGCCTTGAGATCATTGACAAGATCCTCCCGTGTAGTTCTGGGCTGATTCCTCACCGTTCTCATGATCATTGCAACTCCACGAGGTGAGATCTTGCATGGAGCCCCAGGCCGAGGGAGATTGACAGTTCTTTTGTGTATCTTCCATATGCGAATAATCGCACCAACTGTTGTCACCTTCTCACCAAGCTGCTTGGCAATGGTCTTGTAGCCCATTTCAGCCTTGTGTAGGTATACAATCTTGTCCCTGACATCCTTGGAGAGCTGTTTGGTCTTGGCCATGGTGGAGAGTTTGGAATCTGATTGATTGATTGCTTCTGTGGACAGGTGTCTTTTATACAGGTAACAAGCTGAGATTAGGAGCACTCCTTTTAAGAGTGTGCTCCTAATCTCAGCTCGTTACCTGTATAAAAGACACCTGGGAGCCAGAAATCTGTCTGATTGAGAAGGGGTCAAATACTTATTTCCCTCATTAAAATGCAAATCAATTTATAACATTTTTTACATGCGTTTTTCTGGATTTTTTGTTGTTATTCTGTCTCTCACTGTTCAAATAAACCTACCATTAAAATTATAGACTGATAATTTCTTTGTCAGTGGGCAAACGTACAAAATAAGCAGGGGATCAAATACTTTTTTCCCTCACTGTGTACATATATGTGTACCCAAGTATATACAGGAGAGCTCGGTGATTTTCAAGATTCTTAGCCTGAAATGTCAGTATCCTTACAATATAATATAGTTCCTAGCTGGAAAATAGGATCGACAGAATCTTGGAATCATGGTTGGCCATGCTGCCTGGATCCCTGAATGTCATTTAGGCAAGATGGGAGAGTCCATGGGGTCTGGCTGGTTGAGAGGAAGCCCTTTTGAAACATATGGCCAATGCTTATGTAATACTGGTCAATAGCTACTACTGGTTACCTCTCAAACTAAGAACTCAGACTACTGGGACTACTGCAACTCGGAATCAGCCCACTGGGACCAGAATAACTGCAGGGACTCCCATTCATACCACCAGACCATTGGTACTACTACTGGGATCACTCGGCTTACATTTGGAATCTCCCATGCTACTGGGATGGTCACTCGAACTAACGGGACTACCACTCAGACGTCTTGGCACATGTATGTATGTATCTTGAACTTATTTTGTGTATATGCTACCATATACATGTGTAGTGTGTTGTACGGAGGCGCACACTGGAGTTGGAGGCAACACGTTTATTTCAACACCCCCAACAGGGCTAACTACATAAACGTACACTGGTTCAACATCTAAGTGATAACTTTCCTGTTAACTATGTCGGTAGCGGATTAACTACACGAATGGGTCAGTCAG